CTATTGTGGCCTCTGCTCGATGCTCAGGGCAGTGCCCAGCTGCTGGGTCCCGACCCACTTGGAGAGCCCCCCAGCCCCTCATTTCCTATACGGACATGCAGAACCAGAGGTTGTGTGGCTCATTCAGGAGGTCGCAGGAGCTGGGGCACAGGGGTGCACGGTTCAGGCACAGACCTGACTCTGCCACTTATCACCACTCATGTGCTCTGGATGCCTCAGTTTCCCCTCCTGACACAGAGGTAGTGCTAATGCCTGCCTCATAGGGGTGTGTGAGAATTAAGGGTCCCCATAAAGCACTTAGAACAGTGCCTGCTACCTGGCGACTAAGTGATCAGCCAGAAATGACCCATCCCCATCCCAGACCACCCTTGACCTGCTCTTCCAGCAAGAGAGCTCTGGGAAGCAATGGGGGCCTGGGCCCCACCCCGCCTCGCCTCTGTGGGGCCCCTGGCCCAGATGCAGGCTGAGGGCGGGGCCTGGCCCCATCACCCTGCGGGGTCTCCAGAGCCCCCCTCCAGGGGAGGGGCTGGGAGAGAGTCGGGGACACGAGGAGGACCCAGGAGCCCGGAGCGGCGGCCGCAAGCCTCGGGAGGGGGGGCTGGAGCCCTGGCCCGTCACCCCCGTCTGCCCCACAGCGAGGACGACGCTGCCACCGTGTACCGCGCAGCCGCGATGCTGAACATGACGGGCTCGGGGTACGTGTGGCTGGTGGGGGAGCGCGAGATCTCGGGGAACGCCCTGCGCTACGCCCCGGACGGTGAGTGCTGGGCCTCCCGGGCGCCGGGGGCGGGGCTCCCCGCGGGCGCTAAGCCGACGCCCCCCCAGGCATCATCGGGCTGCAGCTCATCAACGGCAAGAACGAGTCCGCGCACATCAGCGACGCCGTGAGCGTGGTGGCGCAGGCGGTGCACGAGCTGCTGGAGAAGGAGAACATCACGGACCCGCCGCGCGGCTGCGTGGGCAACACCAACATCTGGAAAACCGGGCCGCTCTTCAAGAGGTG